TTATGAAATTCAAGTGTGAAGAAAAATTCCAAAGCACAATTGCCTTAAATGTTCCGCTGACAAGGAGGCCAGACTGTAGTACAAAAAAGGAATTGGCATAAGAAAAGTACTTCTGGTCAGTTAATATACACATTGAGTTAGTTGTGTTCTCCAAGCTGGTTGACTTGACTGAAAAGCATCGTCAACCAGCTGGTCCTTCTGGACAAAATCTCCAGTGCAGGTTTCAGCGTAAAATGGACTTATTTAAAGTCTTCATGAATGTAATTGTATCTCCGGCCAACCAGTGCCGTGACTGGTTGTTAGTTTACGTCTCTATTGACCACACTTTCAAGCACTGTTTTGTAGGGATTTGGTTGATTAGTTACAGGATTTCATCATGAGCTGACATCAGTTAGAATACCATTGGAAAACCTGGGAGTACTGGACAGTTGTTTCGTCCTAGTTTGGGACTCGTCATCAGTACGCACCCCGGGGCCATTGGATCGGGTCCCAGTAGCTTAATCGTATAAGAGCTAGCCTTGTAACCAGAAGGCCCTGGGTTCGAACCCGGCGGGTGCATACTGATGAAGAGTCCCGAACTAGGACGAAGCAGCTGTCCAGTACTCCCAGGTTTTCCATTGGTTCTCTAACTGATGTCAGCTCATGATGAAATTATGTAACCGATTACATTTTTATTGACTTGGTATTCGAACTTTCTTGTCGTGTGATTTACCTATTAGTTAGCTAATAAATTTGGTCTGAGTTGTAATGTGTTTGCTGATTACTAATTCACTTGAGTACCAGGCTTCTGGAAATTCCCTGACTGCATTTTTGGTATTTCTTCTATTTAAATTTTCCTAATCAAATCAGTGTCCATAATAATTATGCACATGCATTCATACGAAAGAATATATATCATGTCCTTTTACACCCAATTTGTGTTCTCACATTCGGATTCGAAGAGGACGCCCACTTTGAACGATGTAATGTTCATCGCAGTTTATACAGTTTATTTTGTAAATTCTATTAATCTTATCTTCTTCTCTTGTTAAATCTTTTGATCTGCACAATATCTAATGAAGTGATTATTCTGGCTAGCTTGTGTGCTACATCTATTTCAAAAGGTCTTAATATTCGCAGATACATTTTATATATTGTTGGATGAATATTCTTGTTGAATTTGATATTGGCTTGTTGCTGGTGTTTTAACTCGACTTTAAACCCTTTTTGATGAAACTGTGAGGATAATCATTCCTTTTGAAGACGTTTAGTGGGTATTTTCCCTCCATTCTCTTCAACACAGAAGTGCTACAGTGTGTTTGAACTATTTCAAACACTGTCTGTAGCATAAAAGACTCTTAGATTCAGAGTCAGAGCTACTTTTTCAGAGGATGAAAGTGAAGATGAACACAAGATTGTAAGCGAAATTTCAGCTGAAAGCAGCTACCCTGGAAAGTTCATTACTAAACATATAACCAAGAGTGTAGAAAAGAACTCTTTTGCATCTGTTTAGAAGAAACCTCTAATATACGACTATGAGTTCAAAGATGATATACTAAGTAACATAATAACCAATGACTGCTGAACCTATAAATTCATAAACTGTGTGTTACTTTCCTTAATTCATGTGATATTCAATCAGTTGAATGTCGTTCTATTATCGCATATTAGTCACTCTATCCTTCTCTCTTAGTGATGCTTTTCAAATGTAATCAATTATCAACACTACTTGACTGATTCAATGTAACGTAAAACAGCACTAATGTAGCTCAATAAGAATATTCCTCTAAATATTACTGTCATATGAATAAATGTAGAACCTAATGAAAGAAAGAAATCAAGGGGAATATTCTTTGTTCAGTCTTTTGAAGACTTTTAACTTCAATATTTTACTACTTTAAGTAGTGTAATTACACTATTCCGAACAGACAGTGTTCCAAGATTATGTATTAGGGATTATGGGTATTATAATAATTATTCATCCTCAACTATACACATTGGATTGCTGAGCAATGCTGAGATTGTTGCCTGGCCCTGTAAGGTGTCATTAACAAAGTCATTCCAAAACTTGAATTGAATTACATCCCCCAACGACATTCACAAATGACTTAAGCATATCTGAAACTCACAAAAGTACCCCATTACCGAATTCAGATTTTAGTATTATACAAGTATATATATATATATGGAAAGCTACATAAAAGGGTCTTCTCACACATTTGAAGAAAACTGCTCAACTAAATTTTTCAATTCAACGAATTCATATGATTTGTCACACTCTTCTATTACAAATTTATTAATAGGAATCTATTGATTTCCGCTCCTGTTTCCATCATATATACATATATATCTAAGCTCAACTATAAGCAGATAAATATACAAACTCCTCCTATTGTACATGTCTATGTATGTGTACTTGTAGTCACATAGTTTTATCTACCCTATCTGGACGAATTAAACACCTACATGAAGTGAATTGAAAGTGACTGGAAGCCGTTACAGTCAAAGCATATTTGTACACACTTTTTGTATTCTATGCTTATTCACGAATGCTCAGGGAGAGATAATTCCTATGTGTCAGTAGAGCGAATAGCAGGTAAGGAGACGTAACAAAATTACAAAGTGATAACAATTCGGCACAGACACTAGGAAATTCAAATACTCGCATTTACCTACTTAAATAATGATTCAGTAGTAAGACGTTGTGTGTAAAAGTTCCTGATAATGCTGATGAAGTCATGTTTTGGTTTGACCACCACGTGCTAGCTATTTTCCAACCTGATCCATCCTATGTCGGCGGCTAACATTGCCCGTCGAGGAAGGCGGTCGATTACTAAGCATGCGTAACACATGAATAACGACGTGTTGGACGTGCGTTCGATAGTGAAATGGAAGAAATCGTATGAAGAGAAGATGATAGCCTGCGGGCAGTCAGTTGCAAACTGAAGATGACTGCAGATATCAGGGAAAAATCGAGGTGTGCTGTAGCCCTATGTCGACGGAATATGATTCCCATATGTTTCCACAGTTCAATTCAGCATAAACAACACAATACGATATACCCATTTGAACATTCTATTTACTGTTAGAGACAGTATTATTGCCACAGCTGAATACTGCGTTGGCAACAGAATATTATGTATATTTGAACATTCTATTTCATGTCGTTTAGTGTAAACTGAAATCACACGCTCAATGATTGGTTAAAGAACATAAACTGCATAGATGTAAATAGATGTTTGATCACTTGAAAATATACTTTAGCTTCCGTTTTATATCTTCTTTTGTTACAGTAGTATTAGTAGTAGTATTATGATCACCTTGTCCATTATCCACTAAGTCGCACACTTCAACTTCCATTCTACTAACCACCACGGTGTCAAATTTATATGACTAATAATTGTATTACACAATTACAGAGCCTGATGGAGAATTACCGAAAACACGTATTTTCTCAAATTGTTTTCTGTAACTGTATACAAGCTAAAAACAGAATTACTATTTATACACAATAAAAATAAACCAAGTAGGATATATATATATATATATAATTTGTTACTCATGCTCTACTGAACATGCGTGGAGGCGAGAAGGCAAGAATACTTTGCACATATGAGAAGACTGTAAGAGATACGGACTACACAAAATAGTTCAATCCTACTCAAGTTTGCAGAACCAATCTCCGTCAACCTCCTCTAACTCAATTCAGGTGTTCAAAAAGAAGCAGTTATCAGTCTTTCCTTACCCTGGTAACTGGATATTTTAGTCTAGCTTTCATGTGATTGCACAGTATTTCGCTTTAACCTCCTTTTTTATTACATAACTCCTTTGTCATTCATTGTATGCATTCATTGACTATTTCCTTGAACTTGAATTCTCCGTCAACTGAAATCATCGTGTGAGAATCACAAGTATGTTGAAATTGTTTCTGTACATAAATTTATCATGTCTTTAGGCTGTAATCAGTCGATTAGAATCCAGGGAAATAAGTGATGGTATCATCTCATTCTGCGAAAACTGTTTCTCTCGCTTTACTCACACAAACCAAGATTGTTTTGCCAGGATATTTTATGCACACGCGTTCTCCGAATCTAAAAACTTTAATATTCAGCGACATATTATCTCACTTATACTTATTTATGTTCCTCACCATTTACCCAGCGTAATGAGTAGTTTTTTTCTAATCATTAATTAGTCTGATGTTCTGTTTTAGCAGTTAGTTTGAATTTCCTAATACTGATGGGTGTTTAGTAGTTCCCTAAAAGATACCAATTCGTGATCCAACTTGAGATCAGTCAACTCCTTGTAAACCAACATTTGAGAGTACAGTCTACTGCCCCCTACTGATTGACTACAGGATGAAGCTCCTGAAGTTCACTTCAAACGTCATGACCTGTGGGGTCGAGCAGATCAGGTCTGAGTAAAAAATACTCACCAATGCCATTGGTAAGTAGTGGTGTGGTGAGAGCAGGCTGCTAACCAATTGGTAGACATGAATCTACGTCAATGTCTAGCTTACTAATATTGGCCGTGAGAAAATATGAACAAGGCTGATTCAACAACCAATCACAGCAGATTTAACGTGGGCAAATATGATTCGCAGATAGATGGCTCCACTTTCCGAGAAAACCCGGAACAACCAATCAGAAGATTGCATTTGTCTACTTGAATAAGCTATAATAATGTACATGAAATATATATAAATACGTGCTGATTTCCGTAATAAAACGATCTGTTGCCGGCCCTTGTCTTCTGTTGTTACAGTGGCACTAGACTATCTCAAATTGGTAGAATTCCGCAGGCCATTAAATTCTAGTCTCAGTATACAAGTGGTCAATACAACATTGATAGGATAAACAACCTGATCTACAAATGCTTTTGATCAATTCCACTTCCATAGAAATCAATTGAAACATATAAGTGTTTTGTATTTAATTTTCTAGGCTAACTAGACTACTTATGACTTCTGTAGAAAGTGACATTTTAATGACATGAAAAATGTATGTTCAACATGGTGTGATGAGTGTGTGGCGGCCTGTTTGACATCTGGGCTACCTTTTTTCTGCATCTACATATTGCATCTAATAAGTCATGTTTTCATTCCTAATTTTAATAAAATATGATCACAAATCGCATAAAATACAGTAATTCATTCATTAAACGTTTTAAACCATATGACTTTCATGCAACTAATAATGCATCTAATAAATCTAAGAGAAAACATCACGCTGGCTGGCAGCGTGCACTTAAACAGACACCTTTATATCGTACAACCATTCCTGTTATTGTCACTTCAAACTGCCGTTCACTTCCCAACAAAATTATGCATCTCCAGTCTCTCTTATCATCTGATACTTATCACAATACGGCGATTGTTGCATTACAAGAAACATGGCTCCATGAACTCTATGATGACAATCTGGTTTCCCTAAATGGTTTTACATTGTTTAGACAAGATCGACTATGCTCCAGAAAGAAAAGAGGTGGAGGTGTTGCAACTTTCATTCATTCTCAATGGTCAACTTCAAATAACGTATGTTTTTCTTACTCTAATGACTTTATTGATTGTATAACGGTCAAATGCCGCCCGAAACACTTATCCAAGTTTAAATACGTCTTCATCTCTAACATTTATGTTACTCCTGGCTGTTCTGCATCTGATCTATCTGATTTTGCTGATGAATTCACGCCGTTACACATCTTGAAAACTCTTTATCAGTTGTCACAGGAGATTTTAACTGCTGTGATTGTTCTTTCCTCGTATCATTAGGTCATGCCAATATTGTTAAATTCCCTACTCGACTTGATAAAACCCTTGACCTGGTGTTCATTAATGATGAGGAAATATATGAAGTACGCCGACGTGCTCCTATCATGAACTCAGATCATTGTATTATTCGGATATTACCTAAGATATACAGCAGATCTCACTTTAATATCTTCTCAAATCTGTCCAAGAAAACACAGCAAAGGTGTTACTCACAAGAAAATATGCTCAAACTAAGATGTATGCTAAATGACACTAACTGGGAACTTTTCAACGAACACAAACTGGATGATACTATTTCCAATTTGACTGACTATCTTAAATTCTGTCTTGATATATGCTGTCCAAAACAGATAATTTTCAAAAGAATGGATCGTTTTTCTTCCCCTCATCTCAAAAAACTTCGTAGAGAAAAAGAGAAGCTGTACAAGACAAAGAATAAATCTGGTCTTAAGAAGATAAACACCCAAATTAAATCTGAAATCAAGAGACTAAACAACATTTATAATCAAACAATACTATCTTGTAAAACCTCAGAAAACATATGGAAGCTTTTTAGAGAAATTACTGGTTGTGGTAAGCATAATAATTTTGCCTCTTCTATTGATGTAAATACTCTCAATAGATCTTTCATCCGCCCTCCAAATGTCCTTTCTGCCTTCAATTTAACTAATAACACGACCAGTGACTTTCATCGTTTCAATACTTCTGATGTTCTTAAATGTTTGAAATCTCTTAAACCTTCCCAGAGTCTAGGCCCTGATGGTATACCTGCCATTGTTTTAAAGAAATGTGCTGATATTTTAAGTAACCCACTTACAAGCATTTTCAATACTTCTTTTTCTAATAATAATGTACCTTCTCTGTGGAAAGATATTAAAATCATCCCTGTACCCAAGTCTGGTTCTGGAGATAGTGTTAAGTTTAGACCAATTGCCATTACCTCTCCTTTTTTGAAACTGATGGAGAAATTACTGTTACAAAAACTCATTCCCTCCCTAAGCTTCTCAAACGATCCAAAGCAGTTTGCTTACAAACAGGGTAGAAGTACTTTGGATGCTGCTGCTGTGTTTCATCACAACATTGTATCCTCCTTAGACAAAGGGGCCAAGTATGTCCGTTGTACTTTCCTTGATTACACATCTGCTTTTGACTCTGTACCTAGAGGCCTTTTGTTAAACAAGCTTAGCCTTACACAAACTGAGTCCTGGGCTATCAACTGGCTGCACTCTTACTTCTCCAATAGGATGCAGTACACGGTATATAATGGTGTAGCTTCCTCTCCTTTGCTTACTGAAGCTGGTGTTCCTCAGGGTGCTGTTCTCTCGCCGTTTCTCTTTTCCTTCTTCTTACATGACTTACCTCTCTCAGACGAAATCAACTTCGTCAAATATGCAGATGACCTGACTGTTTCGCTTCCCGTTAAGTCTCAGTCAGACTGCTTCAAATTAAATAGCTTCCTGTCGGACATCAGTCAGTGGTCTAAACTAAATGGCCTAACGCTGAATCCCTCAAAATGCCAGACTGTCGACTTCTCCTTTAGGCATAAACGAGATCTACAAACACTAGTAAGCACTCATGATGTCTGTAGAATTGAGGGGACTATAATTGAAACAAAGTCTAATGCAAAATACCTCGGATTAGTTATATCTTCCGACCTTACTTGGTCATCTCATATCCAAATGATTTCCAAGAAAGTGTTTCGTCTAACCTACTACATTAAGAAACTCAGACTAACTGGAGTCCCTCAACCTCTGCTTTCACAATTTGTCAACTCTCGTATCCTACCTATTCTACTTTACTGTTCCCCGTTAGTCTTTCCTGGGTTACTGAAAAAGGATTATACCATCCTGAGAAGGATGTTGAAGGTAGTTAGTAGGACTAGCGGTGTAAAACTCAGTCAGCTCGTCACAACATTAGTGGATAAGCATCTGAATACATGTGAGAAATGGTCTAAAACCATACTCTCTGACCCCCAACACCCCCTCTATTCCCAACTCTCTCCTTGCATCTCATCAGGTAGAACCAGAAATCAGTATAAAATAATATATGCTCGTACAACCAAGTATAGGAACTCAACGATACCATATTTGGCCCGTGTTCTAAGTGACAGAGACAATGTTAAGCGTGAAACCTATGACTTGCTTTGTTGTTAATAACATAATTTTGGCCCTTGTTATTTCCCCCTTACACTCTCTTATTTGTACTCTATAGTGAACAACCTTCTTAAACATACTTAGCTGCTTAAAATTATTATCATTGGCTTACATTTTTATTCTTTATTCTATTCCTTCTTTGTACATCTACTGGGTCCGACTATATTATCACTATGATTATTAAAAATTGTCCCGTCATTAACCATCATGTAACATTAGTTTTGTGGTTGTTCTTTGTTCGGCACTATTTAACTGACAATCTTGTTTGTTATTGCCACTATCACCATCTTAAAAAATTTTGTATTATGCATGATTCCTCACACTACCACTACAAACAACCGCATTAGTGCTGACAATAAAAAAACACAACCTGAAATGTTTATCTTATGATTGCTTAGTGTTGTTCAATCAAATTAACTGATCATCTTGGCTATAAACATTTTTTAAGAACATCTCATAATTTCCCGTATGATTATAGCTGTTACTGTTCACCACGCATACACATATCGTAGCTTCCACTAACCAATACTGAAATATTTTTTCATTATTTGTGTTTATCTTCCTTTTTACTTGGTATTTTTATTGCATTTTTTTGTTATTTCTGTGTTTCTTTTTTGGTTTTTTGTTGTTAGTTTTTTTTGTTTTTTTATATATTTTATTTTTTTTATAATACTCCTTTTAAATGTACGATGAAATTAGATGCAATATTGTAGATATGTGCTGAAAATTCCACACTGTACCACAAGTACTGTTTCTGGAATAAAGCGAAATTGTTATTATGTATCAAATAGCTGCTATTAAATGGGAAGATAATTTTAATTAGTCACACGCTGAGACCAGTTAGAGAGGTAGTGAAAAACAGTAAATATTGAAAACCAAACTTTTCCATCTGTCTTTGAGACTGTTCATTACTCGACACCAACGTCTTCAACGTAGACCTCAGACTATGAATCGAGAGCTACATTGAAATCAGTCAGATCGCATTTCGATGCAACCTTTTAAACAACATACTCTCTGGCTTTCATCGATCCAGAGAGAAATAGTTAACTCCATTTGACTTCATTGTTATTATTATTATTACTCATCCGTTATGTTCTCAGTGATACTCTGTTTGGTTCTCTGACATCACTGTCACCTGCCTCCCTCCCTGACTGCTCACAAGCTTTCATTCCCTCTTCACATGATCTTCTCCACGTTGACTTCGAACGCGTGTCTAACCCATAGCCTCACGCTCTAGTTCCACTCAAGGGCTAACTGAAGGTTTGTCTCTTCCGCAAAATCTTCTTGGCTGGCTCTGTGGCAAAACTTCAATATTGTTCATCCATTCTGATATCGGGCGAAAATATCTGTAAATGCTGGTGAAGATGAAGCACATGAGAGAAAAGTGTATAAGAAAGGCTTATTCACACTGCAATACAGGCATTTCCTTGGGTATGTGCTCCTTAAATATTTTAAAAAATACTATCAAGTGTCTTATAAGGAGAGCAAGAAGGATATTTACGGAAGATCGCTTACGTAATTCCTCGACTAAGATCGGTTATCCGAAGAGTTTCATAAAGAAAGATATGACAGTATTACATAGAAAATCTGAGACGATGACATCACGGAGGAAACCAATTATTTGCTAAATTATAAGTTAATGAGGATTTGTCGAGTGAGATTCAGTTCCAGAAATTAAGTGTAAGTCTACGGAGAAAATTTTACACAGCGAACCAGTGCGTAATTCTTCAGTTGACGAATGATTGGAATTCAAACGAAGGACAAGATGGGTAGTTTTGCCACTTCTGTGTTCATTTATCCATTCAGCTACTCTTGTGGAGGCATGCAACTAAACATCTTAGTCAGTGTGTTGCTGAATATCTTCCATCGTGCTTTGACAAAGGGCAGACGAAAATCACCCTTAGCTCCGTTTTGTAACAGTTAATGGATAGCGGTCATTGAGTGGAATAAACTGAAGTTCAGGGTGATTCATCGTATCTCACCGAAGGTCTCCAATGGACTCCATATTTGTCCAGTGCATATACCTGAGGCTATAAGCATTCAAGCTATTAAGCCTAGACTATACATTCAGAAGAAGTCCTTGCAGTCATTATCCTTCCCTTGGACAATTAAGATCTAACCAATGGAGAGTATCACAGCAACCGCCGTTTATATTTATAATCCCTTTCTTATCATCTTATCATATCTTCAATACAACTTAATTTATTCAATACCCTTACAATCTAGCAGTAATTAATCACACAACTTCGTTATTAATATTATGGCAAATCGCACAATTTATATTCACAATCTTATCATCCTACTGACAAATCACCATCAATGGTTTATATTTAACTAGATTTATTTGTGAAGTCATATAGGTATATTAGAGTTAAACTGGATGAGATCTAATCGGAGTCAGTATTGTTGGCTTACGTGTGTTATTCTAAATAATCATTGTCACCAGCAAAAATAAAAATTTTCAGTGATACGAATATTACAACCATTCAGCTGACTTTAAACTCAACATTTTAGGTACTAGAAAACACACGTCACGTTAATTTGGTAACTAATCAATGCAATAAATCAGACATCTTTAATCTCAAAGAATTCACAAACATTATTTCCTTCAATGTTGAAGTTCCTTCTACAGGTGTGGTGACCTGTGAAACTGAATTACTCGAATTCGAATATTAGACTGTTAATGTCACATGATCTCAGACAGTAGGAAACTGCTGCTTCAGGCCCGTTACACACAGCCTATTTGATGTGGTTTTCGTAGTTATGTTAGCGAAGGACATTTCAACTAACTGTGGACAATCACAATGCAAGCTGGGATGTACAGTTATCTTGGTGGATCATTTATAAGCCCCTAGGTAAAATACTAAGCCGGATCATCCTGGAGAGAATCAAACACGCCGGCCTGGATGCAAAACTTCGACCGGAACAAACTGGATTCAGGAGAAACAAGTTGTGTATTGATCAAATCGCCACTCTACGGATCATCATTGAACAAAGCTTGGAATGGCATTCAGTCACCTCTCTATCTCACTCAACTTCATCGACTTTGAAAAGGCCTTCGGTAGCGCAGCGTCGATCGACAGGTCATTTGGCAACAAATTCACTACTACGGGTTCCCGTCGACAATTATACATCTCATCCAACAGTTGTACAACAACGCTGCATGCCAAGTAATCCACAACAGGAAACTTACGGAATCCTTCGAAGTGAGGACGGGAGTGAGACAAGCTGACTGTCTACTATCACCAATGATCTTCCTGATTGCAGTAGATTGAATAATGCGACAGACAACGGGCAATGAGGAAACAGGCATAAAATGGACTCACAAAAAACTTTCAGGATCTGGACTTCACCGACAATATATGTCTGATTTCCCACAAACTGGAGGATATACAAGTGAAAAGCAACAAGCTGGCAGAAGAAGCATCAAAGATAGGACTTCAAGTGAACATAAATAAAACAGAGGTGATGAAGATTCCTGGCCAACACCAACAGCAGCAACAACAATAGACAACAATCAGCATAAATGGGAGGAACCTGAAAGAAACAACCTCCTTTACCTACCCAACTGGGAAGCATCGTTTCAACTACAGGCCGGCGGAACTGACGAGGATATCAAAGCAAGAATCGGAAAAGCAAGACAAGCTTTCATTACTCTTAAGTCTGTGTGGAGGTCAACAGCACTCACCATCAAAAATAACATCCGGATTTTGAACTCCAATGTGAAGTCAGTCAGTGCTACTATACGGATCAGAGACTTGGCCAGCGCGTCATAAAGAGCATCTCAAACAAACTTCAGACCTTCATTAACAGCTGTCTTCGCTCAATACTCAACATTAGATGGCCAGAAAAGATCAGCAACAGGGACCTCTGGGATAGAACTAACCCAGCAGGAACAGATTGTGAAACAAAAAGGTAGGAAGAAATGGAGATGGATTGACCATACGCTGAGGAAACCATCAAGTGACATCACTAGACAAGCCATTGCTCGAGTGGAACCAGGCCGAAAGGGAAGCGGGCGGCGAGTTGGTCGTCAGTGTGAGGGTGACTTGGAGGAGGTCATGTGAGGAGGAGATGAAAGCATGTCGGCAGACTAGGAGCGGAGAGAAACAGTTGGAAGAAAACAGAAGCCTATAGAGGTGCGAAGCAGAAAAACTATGTTACTCAAGGAATTAAAGCAAATAATAATAATCATACCAGAGGAGAGACACAGCACAGCTGACATAATGGTTATCTACGCAAAATACCCTGTGGCTACTGTATCTCCATTCGCCGGCTGTAAGTCTTGACATGTAGAACCCGAACAATAGTAAAACGGCTTACAGTATATACTTTCAGTCTAATCGTTACCTAAGTGACCTTGCTTGCATTGTAAGACCTGTGAGAATATTCTTTTCAGTCAGTGTAGATCGTCAGATTACTGTAACATTCAAGGCTGACCACCAAGTGAAAGTAGAAACTGTCGGTCAGGGCTCTTTAAGGTGTCATTAACAAAGTCATTCCAAAACTTGAATTGAATTACATCCCCCAACGACATTCACAAATGACTTAAGCATATCTGAAACTCACAAAAGTACCCCATTACCGAATTCAGATTTTAGTATTATACAAGTATATATATATATATATGGAAAGCTACATAAAAGCGCCTTCTCACACATTTGAAGAAAACTGATCAACTAAATTTTTCAATTCAACGAATTCATATGATTTGTCACACTCTTCTATTACAAATTTATTAATAGGAATCTATTGATTTCCGCTCCTGTTTCCATCATATATACATATATATCTAAGCTCAACTATAAGCAGATAAATATACAAACCCCTCCTATTGTACATGTGTATGTATGTGTACTTGTAGTCACATAGTTTTATCTACCCCATCTGGACGAATTAAACACCTACATGAAGTGAATTGAAAGTGACTGGAAGCCGTTACAGTCAAAGCATATTTGTACACACTTTTTGTATTCTATGCTTATTCACGAATGCTCAGGGAGAGATAATTCCTATGTGTCAGTAGAGCGAATAGCAGGTAAGGAGACGTAACAAAATTACAAAGTGATAACAATTCGGCACAGACACTAGGAAATTCAAATACTCGCATTTACCTACTTAAATAATGATTCAGTAGTAAGACGTTGTGTGTAAAAGTTCCTGATAATGCTGATGAAGTCATGTTTTGGTTTGACCACCACGTGCTAGCTATTTTCCAACCTGATCCATCCTATGTCAGCGGCTAACATTACCCGTCGAGGAAGGCGGTCAAATACTAAGCATGAGCAACACATGTCCTAACTGCAAACATTTATTTCCCGATACGAATTTAAAACAAGCAATAAAGGTTAATAAAGCAGGATTTAATGAATTCATCAAATTTCGGTAGAACTCGTCAGCTGAATACTCTACATACACGAATACATATACTTTTGAAATTACATTGGGAGATATAAGACTGATAAGTTGAATACTCTACATACACGAATATATATACTTTTGAAATTACATTGGGAGATATAAGACTGATAAGTAAACAAACTACATTGAATTAATCATGCAGAAAGACACGTGCGAATGTTTTCCAGGTCATGTTCAAATAGATAAGGGGAGAGAGAGAGTATGAGAGATCAAAATTAAGATAAATTGCATTACGCTTCAATTACATCACTTAGATAAACAATTAGTCATTAGGGAATATAACTAGAATTGCAAACAGACTAATATCAATAGTAATAGTTATAATAACAATAATAATAATAGTGTTGAAGTGAGTTAAGATAAT